TCATGTTGTGGAAGCTGTCCTCAGTAAAATGCGCAGCACACAATAGCAAATTGGGGTTATAATGCTCAGGAACAGAGTTAAAAAATAAATTGCAACCACTGTTTCCTGACATCATCCGCTTTCGGAAGCCCAAACAAAGACGTTTGGGCACGGAGGTGAAAAAAAACAGCGTTTCAGGCGTTCGCGCACCGGACGAACAGCGCAGCGTCGCGTCGCGCCACATCTTTAAAATTAACTAACTCTGCAGCAGCACTTCTTCTCCATCGTCTCGTCTGATGCACTCACTCAACCAAGCGTTCTAACCACAACCTCGCCCCTCCCCACCCCCCTTTTATATATAATTACTAGTGGATGCGCTATATCTATAATAATAATATATATATACTAATTTTATTATTTACAAAGTGACCAATAATCTGTGACCAATATTGTATATGTAGATTGATTTCTCCTCTCTAAAGCGCGTCCTCTCATCACCACTGCTGCGTGAATATGACGGATCACAACAACACTACAGAGACCTGAGGAAAAGCGGGGATTAAAGTACAAAATCTGACTTGAAATAACCTAACCTAATCTATCGGGGCTAAAGCGGTTCCATTAACGACAAATTAAATTCACACAATCTCGTTTATTCTTAAGCAGACCTTTAATGTCGATCATGGATCAAATCGATCCACCATGACAAACAACGAATATATCTGCGCTGTTTAATGCATTTGAGACGTTGTGTTTTCCTTAGTGCATAACTGACATGTCACAGGTATATTTTTCATCTGTAAATGTTAGAAAGTCATGCAAACATATCCATTATGTAGGCTAAATCAACTGTAAACTAGTAGGCTACAGTAGGCCTACTATAATTACTATGCTCAAATTAGTTAATGTGTTTCTATTATAGCAGTTAAAATAGTCATTTTCTTTAGTATTTATTTTTTTTAATAAATACTAAATACTAAATTTTTAATTCAGTGATTTTAACTTTTAATTTAGTTATTTTAATGCTTTAAAGAGCAATTTTAGATTGTAATGTTCTAATGTTCTGCTATCTGTTCTGCAAACTATAAAAGGTACAGCTGTCATAAAACCAGAGAGAAAGGCTGCATGGCTAGAAACTGTAAAAAAAAAAAAAAAATCAAATAATAGTTGCTATTGGTCAGTAGAGGAGCTTAGACAGTTGAGATTATACAATATAGAGCCTGACAGTTAGCCTGCTTTAGACCAGGTTAGTTTCCCAGCATAAGTTGCCACAGTGACTAAGCTTGATCTAGGCCTATGTTAAATTTGCTTTATGGAACCAAATCATTTGACAATGAGTCAGACTAACTGAAATAAGCCTGGCTTATTTGGTTAACTTGTTTTATGAAACAGGCCTCAAGGCATTAAAAGTGATCATATTTTCTCCATTGCATCATATTGCATCGAATCGCATTGTGTTGAATTGAATCGAATCGGATCGGATCGCACTGCATCGTAATAGGGGTGAATCGTATCGCATTGCTAGCTGCTTCATATGTATCTTTAATATATCGTATCGTTGGCTATGCATCGAGATGCGTATCGTATCGGCCTCAGTCATGGAGATGCACATCCCTAATATCCATGTACATACATAAATACATACATACATACATCATTTTAAAATATATTCAATTACTTCCACTTTGTTATACACTTTATTTTATGATTACTTATAAAACTATACGTTTATAGAGAATTTCTAGCTGATGAAATATACGAAAAAAATTTTTTGTTAATATTTAAATATATAATACATTAAAATAAATCATTTTAAAATATATTCAATTACTTCCACTTTGTTATACACTTTATTTTATGATTACTTATAAAACTATACGTTTATAGAGAATTTCTAGCTGATGAAATATACGAAAAAATTTTTTTGTTAATATTTAAATATATAATACATTAAAATAAATACATATTAATATAAAAATAAACAATTAAAAAAACTCTATAAATGACCATGACTTTTTAATATTGCATTAATTCCCATGGCCTTCCCAAAGAAATCTCAATTTTAACACTGACTGACATTCCCAGGTTTTCCATGACTGTGAGAATCCTGATCCTAAACAAAATCAAGCACGTATGAGCAGATGCACCAGAAGCAGTTCAGACACAAGTTGGTGATCTAACATCAGCCATCAGTTGGCTGTATAAACAATCAAACAAGATGGTGGAGAAAAGGGTGCCAGAACAAAGACCCTGCACTGATATTTGCTGCAACATGATCCGTGCAATATGCACACATTTTGGCAGCGGCTGTGCATCAATTCATGTTCACAAACAAGTCTTGAGACTCACCACTGTGTTCTGACTCCTGGTTGGTCATAGTGGGCTCCAGGACCACTTTGTTCTCGCATCGTCCGAGTCCCTGTATCAGCTGATCCAGCTGTAACTCTGAATTCGCGCTCGGGTAACACCTCAAACCACTCCCGCATCTCGGCGTGTAGACGCCGCACAGCTCGCCCTTCTGCCGGGCGCAAACCGGACAGCAACCGCAACCCGGTTCCCTGACAATCTCGCAAGAGGTGGTGAGCTTGGGACACGCCGCCTGGCGCTCCGCGGTGCAGCTCGGGCAGCGGAACACGATCTCCCCGAGCGAGCCGTGCAGGAGCAACAAACTGCAGAGCAATGCAGGAAACATGCCGTTATCTTTAAGTCTGACAGATGTCGGGATTCTGCAGGCGACTTCAGGTGGAAAAGTAAAAGTGCGTTTGGGACAGGTGAGGTTCGCCGGAGAGCTCTGCTGGGTCCTATTTGCTGTCATGTTACTCCGAAATGACATCATGTCCAAAGCCAGTCAAAGTCAAATATAGATAAACAAGTCGATGTGGTGCGACTGACTGTTGGCTATTTCATCTGCGAGAGATATGCTGCTTGTTTTGGGGAAATGTTTGGTATGGTTGCAACTACTGTTATGTTTCCTAAGTTGAAATTGCTATAGTAGGCCAACAGTTCCATCCTCAAAAAAAA